ATATCTTGAATTATGTTTTGTCGTTATAATATAAGAACGCGTGCGTATATTTCTTGTATAAAGTAAACTTACAACGCATGTAACGTTGCCTATGAAAAGAATAAAAAAAAGAAGTGGCATATTTCTGCTGCATATTTCACTAATAATCTCTCCTCTATCTACACATTTATGACTTGACTTACCCTATGCATAATCGCAGATCGCATTGTTATCCGGTTTCGATTATCAGCTCAGCGCGTTTAGAGTCGGCGGGAAACAAAAGGAAAGTATGCAAACGGATTAAATACACAAGAGGGGGAGGTTCGGCCGAGACGCAGAAGAGAGAAATGGCACGAGAGAACGCGAAAGTTTCTAAAGTTTCGCGAAGCTTATTTTAACGGGGCACGCATTCTGAGCAAAAATCGATAATAACGAGGCGAGAAGAGCGGAATAAACGAAGAGTAAGGAAGAGTGAGAGAAATAAAAATAGAGGAGGCCGAACGCAGGAGAGACACGCACGCACGCACGCACGCACGCACGCACTTAATGTTCGCCGGCGCGGGTGCACGCAAAAGCCCAGAAGAGCCTAGCCGAGGACACGTCCTCGCACCACGAAGGCCCGCGCAGCACTGACTCTTTCTACTGAGCGCTCTCAGCTCTCAGCTCTCTGCTCTCTCCGGACTCCGGACTCCGGACTCCACTGTAATGTGTCCCGCGACTCGATGGCGATGGTCTCGATGTGCGAGAGATCGGAGCGAGAGAGGACGGCGAAGAGGAGCGAATTAATAACTAGAGCTTGCTTTGCCGGATAAACAGCTAATGAGTCGGAAAATCAGAATAATACGGAACACGCGTTCTATCGTTTGCAATAAGTGGCAAATGCAGTTTGCTAAATGCATACATCCTTGCCGGAAAGATCGACTTACGAGAGGATTCCGTTTATTATGATGAAAATTTTGATTGTGAATGTGTATGGGATGACCTTCGTGAGAAAGACGTGAAATTTTGAAATTTTGAAATACGATAATGTATGAAATATTTGGCGTTTGAGAATTTATGATAATGAAATGTATAATTGCATTTACAGTTCATTCGAATAGATCAGTTTTCATTTATGTCATTTTATATATCGATAGATTAAATTATCCAACAGTATTTACACAATGATGTGTACATTTCGTAATGATATAATATTGTATTATGAACATTTGCTCTGTCGCGTTTCTCCCAAAAGTGAATGCTTCGAACACGGTGACATGTACAAATACAACGAATTAATGTCATCGATCTGAAGCACGTTTGATTTTACAAACGTCGGAAATCGCTGGGAGTTTCATGTCGACCAAACGAACCTCAAACAATCGGACGTAATCAAAAAGTGGCAACTCTGATTGACGGGCGACCGCCTGTCTCATGGTAATTGCTAATCACCTTCATTGACAGTGAACGTTCGAGGACAACGCGCCAAGATCGATTGATCGATTATCCGTAAACAGATAAGTTACACTCGAGCAGAATTTCGAAAGGTCAGACGAGCTGTTCGCTCGTACACCTGAGAAAACATTTTACTCGCTCATTTGCTCCAAAGCCTTGCGGAAGCAAAGGCTTTAGATCTCAAGCTGAAGGAGATACAGGCGATCGATGTGTGCAACGAAATTCTACAACGTAAATCTACCAAATACTATATATCTACACTGCCATTCATAAATTCGGGAACGCTTGCAATTTTCTCGCATTTCACAAAAACTTTAATATTTCGATGAAAAGAATCATAGAAGTTTTTAAATATACATTTTAAAGAGGAAAAATAGGACTTCAAACTGAATTTGAATTTCGTCCTTGTGATATTTAGTTTTTAAATTACATTTATAAAATTGAAATTTGATATATTTTTTTAATATTTATGTTATCCTTCGAAGAGCACTCGGTTTACAATTAGATGAAACATCGGACAAATTTTAGCAGACAAGCATTTTAAAATAGACTTTAAGCTCTAAAATTTCTCTTTGAAAATCTTTTTGAAAAAAATTGCGATGATGCTTTTTTGCAAAGATATCAAATTTTTTATTGTGTAAAATTTTCGTGTTAATTTTTTTAAAATGTTTTTTTAATTTTGAAACTAAAAAATTTACAGAAAAAGAGGATAAAAAATATTTGTTGTGTGTTTGATTCCTATAGATTAAAAAAAAATTTTTTTTAATCTTTTTTTGCTCGTTAACGTATTTTATAAGATTAAGTGAAAATTGTATATAATACAAAATTCGGTATCAATGCAAAATGTCAACGTAGCAATTTTTTCAAGAAATATTTTAAAGCTTAGAAAGTTTATTTTAAAACGATTATCTGTTAAATTTTATCCGATAATATTTTATCCGTAGAGCTCTTAAAAAAATAACAAAAATATTATATAAAATAAATATTTATTTCATGTAATTTAAGAATATTATGGAGATAATTCAGTTTGAAGCTTTATTTTTCCTCCATAAAATGCATTTTTGAAAATAAAATGCATTTTTGAATTCTTTTACAATTTCTTTTTATCGAAATGCGTGAAATACGAAAAAATTGCAAACGTTCTCGAATTTATAATATAAATTTATAGTGAATATATTCATTATTATATTGTCATTTATGAATAGCTATGATTTCTCAATTATTAGCGTTTATACATATGACATATACAGATGACTAATTGTTATTTAAGAAGATACTTAAGAGATTAGCGAAATGTATTTGTGAATATGTATAGTGATGTAGCTTTAAATTTAATATAATAAGTATAGATATCGGATTCTTACGCAATTGTATATGTTTTTAGGAAAGAGTTTGGAGAAATCAATTAAGAATAAAAAAGCCTTTGAGAGTCAGTGAATGTTGTATTATAATCAAGTTTTATTGTATATAACAATTGAGTAAATAATACATTTCGATCCTTACATTTGGATCCTCTCAGTAAATTACAATACATTAATGATAAAACTAAAATGTATACAAGAATTACAGTTAAATACAATTAGAATATTAGATTATATTAAAACTTACAAAGAATATATGTTCGTTTTAATGTGAACTGTGGATAACGTGTATCTGGATAAAGTCAATTCGCATCCATATGTCAAAATGTCCATTCAATTTAGTTAGTAGTTTGTTTAAAAAACTTTATCTAAAATTTTAATATCCTCCCAATTGAAATCGTATGCAAAATCCATCCAAATTCACATCTACGTGCTGTAATTACCGAGTGTCGTGATGTTTTTATTAATATGGTTCTTGTATTCCTTGATTTTTGTCTTTAACATTCTGTTGGTTTGACTCACATAAGATTGAAAAGTAAGATTAAAATTTGTCTTATTGAAAAAGTATTCTAAAGATACATATTTATATATGTGCATGTTATGCGTATTTATACATATTTTGTATATATTTTTATATTTGGTCTGCATAAAAAATCCAATGTTTAATAATCATATTACAACACACTATATCATTATACAGGATATTCCCGAGTTAAATTCGCGCCAAACTTAAAATATGAATTTTTATGACGTCAAAACAAACAAAATTTTCCTTTAGAAATTAACTCGTAAATGCTTCATATTGTACATTATATTGTAATTATTACATTAGTAAACCACAGCGAGATCAGTTATTCAAATTCATGGAACTATAAATTAATATACGGTGATAATTTAATAATCTTTTATTAGCTTGTGCAGCGCAAATAAATTTTACCTCTCAGTTTATATTAATATTTGTAACTTGAATATATTTCTTTTTATCGCGGACTACGTCAAACACGTGTTGCTACGTAATTCGTTACATTCACACGCGTCCGCTCGTCAGGAGATGGTTCGTCGAGTGCCAAGGGCTTAATTTGTACGGAACGAGAAATTAATCTAGCGCTTTAAAACGATTTTGATGCGTATGACTGTTTTCGCCTGTCCCCGCAAGGGCAAATCGAATATGGCTTTCTAGGGACGTACGTGCGATTCAAGCGTGCTCGTATTAAGGACGAGTCGCGTGCACGCACGGTTAAAAAAGGAAACAAATAAATCTCACCGCTTTGACGTTTGACAATGAAAAAGTACTAGCTTTGAGTGCACTCGACACACGCATTGCAACTTGCAACGCGACGCGTGTAACTAATAACATTGCTATTGCAACAGTATCTCTGGAAAAAAAATTTTATATATATATATATATATATATCGAGATACTTGAAATTATTATCTCGATTTACTCTGAAATTACGATCTGCAACAAGAGAAGCGTTTAAATATAAAGATAAAATATTATTAATTTAAAACAAGAGCTTACGTTATATCTGAAAAATACTGAAATACTGAATAATACTGAAAAAAATTTCTGGTTGAAAATGGATAAATCAAAATTTTCTGGGTAAATTTATTAAAATTCTAGTTGAGATAACTGAAATTCTAATTGATATTAATACAATATTTCTGGTAAAATCTACTAGAATTCTTATTTTTATTAGAATAATTATAACAATCAGAATTCTAGTTATCTCAACTAGAATTCAAGTAGATTTAATCAACAAATTCTAATTCGTCCATTTTCCACCAGAATTACTATTTAATCCAACCAGATCAGTTTTCTGAGTGCTTATCTCTCGAGGGAGTGAATTCTAAACAAAATTATAAGACTCGTAACGTGTAAAACTTGTCAAAACTTATGACTAATTTCTCTTTTATGCGTGTATTGTAAGATGTACGATTATTAAATATCTACGATTTCTTGTAAATTTTATGGCTAATAAGAAGCTGTCTGTAAAATATTATATAAAGGTATTAGCACTTAAAAATTCTTACAAGCCTTACAAGAATATATTCTTATGATTCTGTTTAAAATTTAGATATTAATCTGCGAATTACCTAGTAATTAGCGGCGTCTCGATATTCCTTCTTTTTTTTTAGAATTTTATCTTTGATTTTTCTTACGTTAATTGTGAATCACACAATTGTTAATATATGTATAAATTATGTCGGAATGAAGAGATGATTTGATTTGTATAACTTAATTATTCTTGTGAACGTTGCAATAATTACAGATACGCATAGTTTGTTTTATTTAATTAAAATAAAATGCGGAATGTGCGGCTGGTGTGAAAAAATGTCAAGAGCCACGCTCGCAAATATCGATCCCACGTGTCCAGCTTGTTTTGCGAAATTTATATACTCGTAATATTAAGGTTTATATATGATATGAAGTTTGTTGGTCACGAAGAGCATTCAAAACGAGAGAACAAATTGTCAAGGTTGGAATACCAATGGGATTAATGGATTAACTCGGATGAATCGAGAAATATATCTTTTCATGCAATATTGCGTTGTCTGTAATGTTAAACGCAAAGTTGCACACCGTTATTGCGATAATTGCATGATTATCAGGCTGATTTTTGCGCTCTCTCTATAATATGTATTGCAAATGCAATTAAATTTCGGAATTATTTGCCAAACAATTGTATGTACAATGCAGTAAGCATTCATTTGTAAATACCCGAAATGATAATCTTTAACAATAAAAGAGCAAACACCGATGATATTTCGTTTGTAAAATAATTTGTTCTCATGTAAAATAACATTCATTTTGGACAGAGGAAAATAT